GAAAGAGAGATAGCAAAGATTTTATTTGCAGTACTGAAAGTGCTTTGGCTTTTATACAAAATGCTGTGTGTTCGTGTTTAAACATTAGAGACAATACAGGAGGGAAACTTTCATACATACATAATGTGCTTTATGTATTGTGGCACAAGCAGTTCCTGGTCATAGGCCAAACTCCCTTTGTGCCAAATAACCGTATGAACTCTAAACGCCACCACTGTCACCAGTGTCCATCTCCTGTGGCTATTCATTACAAGGAGAGATATTTCTGAAAAGGAAGCCAGCTGGAATTACTACTGTTTCAAAGATTCAAGGGCAAACACAATCGTTAGGTAAAAGACTAAAACATGATTCTTGGCTCACATGCTGGTCAAGTATTTATCAGTGTAAGTGGGTAAAATCCTAATGCTCTACACTTGACAGCTTTTCCCACAGAAGATGACAGAGAGGGGCTTGAAGAACTGGATGTCATCAGCTGCTAAGAGAGAGCTAGAGTGATGCTTCTGGTAAAAACTACTGCCCATTGCTCCTACCCCTGCTGAGCAGTTCACTCTTCTGCAACTCACATGACCAGGAACAGTCTGCAACCGCTGCAGGAGGATGAGAGAGACTGCTGCTCTTGCTAGAGGGGGAGAGAGCGAGATGACAGATGTTTGAGTAGGATGAGGCAGCTGTTGTAGCGGGTAGTAGGAGGTAAGATATGACTAGTTGTTCATGGTGGTAGGGGAAGGCTCTGGATCCAGCTCATGCTTCTGAAGTGAGAGCCTCTTTTATTGACAAAAAAGAAAAATGAGCTATTTCCAATCCTCTCCAGCGTTACTTTCTGTCTTCAAGGAATGCTCTCCTACACCTACATAAATGGCTTTCACGGGGGAAAAAATGCAGCCATATTTCTAAGTTCTGTTGCTTCCCATCTCTTTTCCCTACTTCTGTCCTATTTACCGAGGCAGACTGTAATCTCAACAAGAAATGTAATCAAAGTGAACCAGAATGGGAAAACAGAGGTTGTGCTATATCTCTGTGGTTTTTAAAGAACTTTTGACCAATACACATGCTAAGATAAACATGGCGAAACAAGTGTTCCTGAATCATTAAAAGATCAATGGATTGTTCTGTTTCTGTTCTATATATCTTCTTTGTTGCATTAAATGCCATGTAATATTATATTATAGTAGTTAATAGAGGCCTAAAATGACACAATTGTCTCTTAAACTGAGAGATAATCCAACAGAAAACAGCTCAAATAACCAGGTGTGTTCTTAGCAGAGCATTTTCTTTAGAAAGGCTTCTGAGGTGTTATGAGTTGATGCTAGCCAGCAGCCAAGAAACCATGTGGCTGCTTGCTCAGTCCCCATCCCCAGCAGGACATGGGAGGAGAACAGAAGGAGAGAAAATGAGGAAACCAGTGGGTCAAAATAAAGATAGATTAATAAGTGAAGGAAAGAGGGGTGAAAAGCAGTACAGAAACAATCACTCTCCACATCCCACAAGCAGGCCAACACACAAGGAATGCTGAAGCAATCTCCCTGCCTTCTTCCTCCTTTCTGTTTTAAGCGCCTGTGTCACACATAGAAAATAATCAATTTAGGCATTTTTATGTCTAAATGCCTTGAGGGGCTGTTAAAAACCTGGATCACACCTAGCCCAATGGAATAAATCAAATTCTCCTGCAAGACACAGCCAGCCTATGCTAATTTAATTACTCGCTGGGCATGACAGCAGTCAGGACTTCACCTACTCTGTTTTGAAGTCCTCACCAATAGGGGAACCTGAGTTTCTTATCCTAGCTTCAAGGGCTGTTTATGCATTTTGGTATTTAGTTATAATGTATTCAAATAGAAGCACAGGTCAAGAGAAATTTTACAAGTATTTCTGCCTCTACTACAATAGGCTCAAAGGACGTAAAAAAATATTCCAAAATAAGAGGGAAAACATGAACCATTCACCTTTTGTACTGATGTTCTCCTTTAATTTATAGTCAGTCTGTCTGCAGAGTTGTTTCAATTTTTTCTCTTCAGATGCACCTCAGATTCATGAACACATTAAAGCTTTCTTCCAATAATTAATTAAAATTACAACATTTTAACAGATGACTAAACATAAATGTGAATAATCCTCATTAAGTCCATATGCATGCACTAATATCCCATTTGATCTTCTTATCCCTACTGCAGCAATCAAAATCTAAGATAAATATTTCAACTGCCAAAGTGTTTTGTTTCTATAGTAGAGTTATGAAGTTTGCATTTTGCTGTTCTATAGTTGAGCAAAACCTGTCCACTACTCTGAGGAAAACAATCTAAGATCTATCAGCTTGGTAGCTAGTTTTACAGCACAGTGTCATACTTCATAAGATTTTCAAGTGCTTTATGATTCATATCATTTTCTTGGAACTGCAATTTTCCTAGAAAGCATGGTATTATGCTGAGGATGGTCACGTTCAGGACAAACACAGAAAGCAACCAGATTTGTTCATACAGAAAGAGATTACAGGAGAGCAGCTAAGACCTGTACTAGTATGAGCACAGAATGAGAATCCAGAGCACCGTTTTGGTGGGTCTGTCTGTACACAAGTGAGACAGGAGCAGCAGACAGTAGACAGAGAAGTACCAGGGCAGCACTAGAGAAAGTGATATTTTGTGGCTTGGAGCAAAAGTATAGACACAATTTGGGCAAAGTCTTGCTTTGAGAACAGAATGATTGGAATGGGATCCAAGGAAAACCCTTCCTTTATTCTCCATGATGTTCTGGAAAATGCGTATGCCTTTGATAATTTACAGTATTGAAACCAAGAAATGCTTGACTCTATCAACAAGAATCTTATACACAGCTAACTACAATAGTCAAAAAAAGCAAAAATACTATACTAGCGGCAATCTTACATGTCGATTATGTTCTTTCACAAAGCTCTAGATGCTTGGGAGAAGGGGACATGTTAAATAAAAATGCATGTTTGTTTTCTTGCCACCTATCATGTTCTCTGATGATGATTGCAAGTATCTCTATGCACTCCAAATACAACTCCAAACACATCAGTGACTTTTTTCAACACAAGTTCTTCTGGGGGTCCTTTTGCTCAAGCATAGAATGTCCTTCTATTTCAGTGTAAGCAATGGTATTTTTTCATTTGTGCTTTCATCTTGCTGCCATATGTCTCTTTTACTCTCCTACCAAAATGTTGTTCAAGCTCCAATTGTCTCCTACATTACTACTTGAAACTTCCTCTCTTTGCTTTCCCTGGATTTCAATTTCCCTTATTCAAGATGCCAAAAGTCATTTGTCCATCTGTTTCTGAAGCAAATACCCAGTTCATCTTCTGATACCTGCAAATTTAATTCAGTGCAAGTTCTCTGGCCCAAGTCCTTCCCAAATAAATTTAAGCAATTAACTGAATGAAAAGAGCTGGCCACATTATCTTTGTCAGCGCTTAAGAAAATAATTCTAACTGCTGTTCCTGCTGCTGAAGAAAGAACTGAGATTTGTGGACCAGCAGCTGTATGGCAGCCCTCAAACAGTAGCAGATACTCTCCCCATGCCTACAATCCACCAGTGAGAGCAACAGCTGTGACTTCTCCCTTCGACTTTTCATCCCACATCTTCCCATTCCTTAACTTGTCTTTCCTCTTCTTATGGTAGGAAAAGCATGGTCTTGTCACTATCCATGGGGCAGAAAAATTACAAGTTTTTGCACCCCTCATTAGCCACAAGCCAGGCCCGACAGAGTACACTGGTAACACACATTAGCACTAAGTACCACTCTGGCCTTACAAACAGACTTCAGTCCCTAGAGCTGTTTACAAATCACAGTTAGATTTCCCTGAAACAGCATCATGGTCTCATTCTATGAACAAAACAAGATGTTGCATATAGCAGTACTTTACGGATAGTTCTTTGCCTGCATCACTTTTTTAGAACGTTACCTGAGCTTATTAATATACTCTCTATATAAAGACTTTATTATTGATCTCCTGCATAGGAACTCCTCAGAACAGAAAGAAATCACAATTTCAATAACATTTTCACTTGACTCCACCTCTCTTTTTGCTCCTAATTTACAAACAGGCTTTGTACATCACAGAGGTCTATTTAAGAATAAATCAAAAGTTACCTTATCTCTAGGCTGCTGATTCCATTCATTGGCTTTGTGTATTTTAATGACAGTCTAAGAATAAGAAACAGATTTTTAATGTTAGAGTAGTCAACTTTAATTAGATCATTGTGACATTTCAATCGGTGGGAATATTCTAAATCAATAGGCAATTACAAAAGTCATATAGCAAAGGTACAGTACAGAGGAAAATATGACAAAATATTTCTATAGGGTTTTTTCACCCAAGAGCAGGTGCTTCAAAGTAAAGGAAAACAGAGATCATGTTTCATTAATGTCATTCCAGCTGAATTACTACCTAGTTACTGGCAATATTCCTCTTTGATTGAATTTTACAATGAAATTATGATCTAATTAATGCCAGTGGAGATTGCGGTGATTGCAAAATCAAGCACAGGGAAACATGTTTGGACCAATATAAGCAAACAAAGTAAGGAATGTAAGAGGAAAAAAAATGTGAAAATAAGAGGCTGCATCTGAACATTTTTGAGGTTCTTAATCTTCTAAGAATACCCAATTTAGTATTTTTTTTATTTTGGACAATTTAGAAGCAATAATTATATTAACTTGACATTGCACCATTTCTGATTAGCTTTCAGAAACACATGTATTACACATGAAATTTCTTGTTACTCACGTTGTGTTGACGTCTGAGCATTCAGAGGAAGAAATATCCACATTCCGGGTTACAAATGTCACATTTGTCAAATCTATTAAAACTGAATTGTTGGCTTTGAGGGTGATATTTCTAGCATAAAAAAGGATGCATGTATCATTTCCAGTGGTCACATTCAGAGGAGGATATGATAAACTGTCTTCTTCCTCAGTGGCCATTAATTGTCGTCTTAATTCCCATGCCACATCACTTCTTCTAGAAACCTGGAATAATAGCACATTAATAATTCATCTCCTTTGCAAAAGATAATATCAACTGAACACAGATCTTCACCATTCTGTACCATGAGCACCCATCCTCAATTCCACAGTCAACCTCGGTATCTATTATTGTCTATTTAATTGGCAGTATGGAGACAAATCAGGTGGTGTTAACCCAGATTTCCATGGTCAGGCATCCACATGTGAAAAACAAGCACTAGTGACATTAAGCAAATAAATGTAAAACTATGTTGCTGAGGTTGCTTCAAGATAGTAGTGTGCATTAGTGCTAACAGTAGAAGAATATACTATTTTTTAACAGAATATACTGAAAGAAATTATTTTTTTCTGCAATAAAATCACACAAAAGAATTTGCCAGTTCAGTGACCACCCTCCATAGTAACAATAACAAGTTCTACATTCTTTGTTTTAGCAGGCATGAAATCAGGCTACTTAACTACAGCACTGATATATTTAGATTCTTCTGATGGCTTCTGGAAAAAGAAGATCTATGCTCATTTGACTGTTATGATGAACTCCTCTAAGGTACTTCAGTGCATATATACATTTGCTTTTAGGACGTTTCTGGAAATTGCTTTTCATAGGTAGTGACTTTTTACAAATGTGCCCAGGGCATCCTTGATACAACAGCCCTGTTGATATTACAGGTAAAAACTAGCTGACGTTATCAGACAACTCAATCATGTTGTTCATATCTTATTCTTCACTTCCTACTCTGCTCATATTTGGGCTATTCCATTTATTTTTGTGATTCATGTCAGCTTTTCAACTTTGTATTCTACATGTGGCCTCTGCCCTTGGATAACTTTGAGATATAAGAAATGAGAGGCATCACAGGGGTTACCAAAACTATAATTATGTGGAGCTATTGCCTGAAACCACTTTTAATGGGTTTAAAGACAGGCAAGGACAATTTTCCAGTCTGGAACAGAGGCTATAATATCGCTTTATAAGAGGCTATAACATCACCTGTTGAGAGGAGCCCCGGAAAATTTTGTCACCTTAACCGCTGCTCTCTAAATGCTATGGGCCATCTGTTATTTACTATGTGTCTTTGCAGATACCTCATTCTATGAACAAAGCAGAATGAGATGAGTTAAAAGCCTTTGACTAAATACTCAAATAAGGATTGCAATCTTCCTCTCCCATACATGCATACTTTATGAATTTCTTTTTAATTCAGAGTAGTGCCTTTTCAAGTACATCAGAACATGCATTATTTTAACTGAATACCATTTTCTTTAAAAGAAGAGCGTACAACAAAAGAAAATATTCAACTTCTGATATAAAACTTTTAATCTTCCCTTAGGGTCTCCTGAAATGTAATCACTTTATTTCAAACTGAGAGGAAGAGCTGAAGTCTAAATTATATCCTGTCTAACAATTGACTTCACTATGTGGGCCCTGTGTATCATCTAAAGAGGGCTTTAAAAACCACCTGCTAATAGCTGAAAACAATGCTACATTGGAGATTGTGATTGGGCTAACTTGGGAGATTAGGTTTAAGTACCTTAAAATAAAAAGAAGGCTATTAGAATCTAATCATGAGACTACAGCTTTATTTCAGTTGCTCTGCTGCCGGTGCTTTGTCATGAGGCTCTCACATAAAGATTCCCTTTTGTCTCTGAAAGCATACGAACTGAAGGAGCATTTACCTGTGAAGGAGGAGTGCCAGGTGCTATGAAAGCCACTAGTTTCCCATGATTAAACCTGTTTTGATGAATTTACCGACACTGAAGAAGGGAGGCAACACAGCTTGCAAAAAAAAAAAAATTCTAAAAATCGGCTTTGTTTCAGTAATATATGTGGCTGAACATACAGGCAGTCATGGACTGTGTAGCCCAGTGAGCCCATCAGGACAACTACACTTAAATTGGAGCCTGCAAGTAGATGGTCTCTGGAGAAATGTCCCCTAAACACTTAACAGCCTGTATATTAATCCTTTCAGCCTGGTGATGCATTTCTTACTTGTTACTTGTGAGAGAGGCAATTTAGCACATTCGCAAACAGAAAGTATTGCCTTACAGAGATTCAAGAAAATTTACTGTTAAAGCTGGAAGGAAGATCTCTGAAACACCCAGCTTGGGACCTGCTGGAGACAGCAGTTGTTACATCCAGCTAACCTGCAGTGGGAAGTTGAGAGGTCTTCCAGTACATCCCTGCCTGTTTCAGGCTCGCTCTCTTATTCTTTTGTTGCTGCACAAGCATGACCTTATTGAATAAAAACCATTCTCCCCATGCCATATATTTTATGCTAAACTATAAATGAAAAAGTACTTCCTTGAGGAATGGATGATATTTACATTGAATTATTGTGAATCAAGTTAGATTTAGGAGCAAGCCATAGTGGCAGTGTTAATCAAATAATTGTTTGGGTTGCAAGAGAAGTTAAAGATCATCTAGTCCCAACCACCTTCCACTAGATGAGGTTGTTCAAAGCCTAATCCAGCCTGGCCTTGAACACTTCCAGGGAGGGCGCATCCACTGCTTCTCTGGGCAACAGGTTCCAGTGTCCCACTACCCTCACAGAAAATAATTTCTTCCTAATATCTATTCTAATTCTACCCTCTTCCAGTTTGAGACCATTACCCTTCGTTCTATTACTATACTCCCTGATAAAGACTCTTCCCCCTCCCTTCTTTTCTGTAGGTCTCCTTTAAGTACTGGAAACCTTCTATGTAGGCTTCCTGGAGTCTTCTCGTTTCCCAGCTGAAAAATCCCAACTCTCTCAGCCTGCCCTCACAGGGGAGGCGCTCCAGCCCTCTGATCATCTTTGTTGCCCTCCTCTGGACCTGCTCCAACAGGTCCACGTCCTTTCTATGTGGAAGGCCCAGAGCTGAACACAATACTGCAGGTGGGATCTTATGAGAGCAGAATAGAGGAGAAACATCACTGTTGACCTGCTGGCCACATTTTTGATGCAGCCCAGGACATGGTTGGTTTTCTGGGCTGTATAAGCACACATTGCCAGGTCCTGTTGACCTTCTCATCAACCAACACCACCAAGTTCTTCTCTGCAGGGCTGCTCTCAATCCCCCCGTTGCCTAGCCTGTATTTGTGCTTGGGATTGCCCCTACCCAGGTGCAGCACGTTGCACTTTACCTTGTTGAACCTCATGTTGCCAGTCATTAAACCATATTTTATTCTGTCATTTAGTTCCCCATCACCTTTACCTAATTCAAACCCTGGGATGTGAGATGCTCCTCTGGATTTATCACTGACACTTTTAACCTCAGATATGCCGTGAAAAATTACAAGACCTGATTGAATAAGATAGCGAAAAGAAAGGGTGCTGGTTACATTGTCCTAGAATAGAATTGAACACTAATTTCTAATTGAACCTGCAACAGAAGGCACCTGGACAAAATTCTTCCCTTTGATCTGCTTTGCAAGCCTCCTAATTCAGAATCATCTCACTTGGAAAAAAGAAAGACAGCTGATCTGGCAACATTTTGATGCGCAAACATACTGATCTTTTTCAAAGCAAACAGACTTTATATCCAAAATTATTCATTTATTTTGTTGTTGTTGCTGAGGTTTTGTTGGTTGTTCCAAAATAAAATGGCTAGAGATAATAAAAAAGATTTGAGGCCATTTTATATATTTGAAATTACAAATATAAATCAAATGGTAGCAAACGCATACAAAAAAAATACAAAATAATGGGAAAATAGTATTTTCATTGGCTGAAATGATAAATGGTAATGTACCATAGAAATATTTCACATTCATTTCAACAAGAGATTTTTGGATATCATTTGAACAGATGATTGTGCCTTATTTTTCAGTCTAGTACTTCTTGACATTTTTATTGCTATGCTTAGGTGTGCACATTAAGAACAAGAAAACTGTCCTGGTGGACATGTTGCTCATTTCTAACAGTGTGGATCTATGACCACATCCTCACTCTGTGGCATTGTTGCTGTTATTTAAACAGCCAGGGAAAGGTTTTGCTGTACTTGCAAGGAGTGATATGAGGAAGAAGAAGGGTCCACTCCCTTTCTCTTTGTTGCATCTTGTCCTAGTTCCTGCCTCCATACTATAATGTGCACTACACTGTCTTCTCTGTATATACTCTGCCTGGATGGCAAATGGTATTTTTTCCAAATTTAGTCATAACATGATTAAAACAGTTGTTGGAATCACAAAACTACATTAAAATCTAGGCTTCTATTACAAAAAGTGCAGTATAAAAACCAGATATTGCTTAACAGTGTTCATAAAATCGTGCATTCATAAAGTGGTTTGAGTTGGAAAGGACCTTAAAGATCATTTAGTCCCAAATCTCCTGCCATGGGCACTTCCTGCTAGACCAGGTTGCTCAAAGTCTCATCTAGCCTGGCCTCAAACACTTCCAGGGATGAGGCATCCACAGCTTCTCTGGGCAACTTGTTCCAGTGTCTCACCACTCTCACAGAAAATAATTTCTTCTTAATGTCTAATCTAAATCTACCCTGCTCCAGTTTAAAACCATTGCCCCTCGTCCGCTTGCTACACAACCATGTAAACAGTCCCTCCCCAGCTTTCCTGTAACCCCCTTCAGGTACTGAAAAGCTGCTATAAGTTCTCCCCAGAATCTTCTCTTTTCCAGGCTGAACAAGCCTACCTCTCTCAGCCTGTCCTCATAGGAGAGGTGTTCCAGGTCCCTGAACATCACTGTGGCCCTCCTCTGGACATGTTCCAACAGGTCCATGTCCTTTCTGCCTTGGAGGGTCCAGAGCTGGACACAGTACACCAGGTGGGGTCTCACGAGAATAGAGTTGTTCAGGAGAATCACCTCTCTCAACCTGCTGGTCACACTTCTGATGCAGCCCAGGACACAACTGGTTTTTGGGCTGCCGTTGCACATTGCCAGCTCATGTTGGCCATCTCATCAAGCACCACTCAGTCCTTCTCTGCAGGGCTGCGCTCAACCCACTCATCACGCAGCCTGTATTTGTGCTTGGCATTGCCCTGACCCCGGTGCAGCACCTTGCACTAGGCCTTGCTGAACTTCATGAAGTTAGCACAGGCCCACCTCTCCAACCTGTCAAGGTCCCCCTGGATGGCATTTCTTCCCTCCAGCGTATTAAATATTCACAGTTGCAGAAAAGAGGCTGAAAATATTTAGGGCATGCAGGTATAGACAAAAGCTCAAAGTACATTGTGAAAGTGGAGGTTAAAGAATCCTTCCAGTCACTTACGGTTTCCTGAACCATGAGGTGTAATGTCTGAGGAGAGGAGGGCAGGCACCACAAGTGCTGCAATAGTACCTCAAGGACAAATACCTGCTATCCGCACTAGACTTTGGTGACTTGAACTGCATCTAACCACCATGTACCATCAGTAATTTTTTTGACAGGATAGCAAGTTGGCTGTACACTTGCATTTTCTCAATTCACTTTAACAGTGATTTTTATTCTTTTTTTTTTCACAAATATAATTTTAAAAATTACACCAGGAGGCTTGCTGTGTGCTGAGTGTTGGGATGCTGCTCCCCGCAGATTGGTAGATCATGCCGCTTGCTGGGGTTTGGCAGTGGCGCCCTTGAAGCCACTCAGCATTCACATCCCAGCCAAGTATCAGCACATTTCAATACCTTTTTCTGAAATTACCATTTCAATTTCCTTCCCAAAAAACCAAGACAGTTTTCCTCCATGTTTTCTAACTGATGTAGCATCATGGCCTCACTACAGACAGCATCGCCACCCCTCCTGCTAATATATCAGTTTTTCTGAAAGGTACTGTAACGTAAATCTGTGATGCAGTCAATGACTGTTTGCATTGCACTGCTAAAGGTCAAAAATTTGAAAGGCAAGCATCAGAATTTGGTATAACTGCAAGGATGTTCTTTGCAGTGTCAAGTTTATGGAATCACATGTATAGAAAGCAGAAAGAATATATTTGATTACACTTATTTCATTCATCTGTTAGTGCAAGCTTGTAGCATAACAGTGCTTTGAGCTGTCAAAAACTAGAAATTAAGCGAAGACTTACCAGTTATCTCTATTTTTGAGAGTCTGAACTGTTTATATTTTTATGACTTCTAATGTTTTGTGAGCTTCATGTTTTTCTTCCCCTCTAGAATATCTTAGAGTACAGTTTCAATTTTGGTCCTAGGTTTGGTGAATCTTGCATTCCATATCAACCTCAAACAGTCTCACTCTGTTTTATCGAGGAGACTGGAGCCATCCTGGATTCACCCTCTGATACACTGGAGAGTTATGTTGCCATCCAGAGTGACCTTCACAGGCTGAAGAAATGGTCTGACAGAGACCTCACATGAGCGCAAGTGAGATGTCCTGACCTTAGGGAGGAACAACCCCAGGCACCAGCACATGCTGGAAGCCAACTGTCTGGAAAGCAGCTTTGCAGAAAAGGACCCGGGAATCCCGGTTGACACTAAACTGAACATGAGCCAGCAATCGAGCAAAGAAGGTTAACAGTACCCTGGGCTGTGTTAAACAAAGTATGGCAAGGAGGTCAAAGGCAGGTGATCCTTCCCCTCTACTCAGCACCGATGAGGCCACACCTGGAACATTGGGTCCAGTGCTGGGCTCCTGAGTACAAGAGAGACATGAACCTGCTGGAGAGAGTCCAACAAAGGGACATAAGGATGAGGAAAGTTCTAGAACATTTAGGGGCTGGTTTAGCTCAGTCAGTTGAGCGTGGAGCTAACAATGCCAAGGTCGCAGGTTCGATTCCCGTTCGGTCCCCATGTGTTGCCTGATCTAGTCGAGAGGTGGCGTCCCTGGTGACAGGGAGGCTGGATTAAATGATCTCTAAGGTCCCTTCCAGCCTAGGCCATTCTACAATTCTATGATTTCTCCTATGTGGAAAGGCTGAGAGAGCTAGGACTCTTGAGCCTGGAGAAGAGAAGGTTCAAGAAGGGGATCTCATGAACAGGTATAACTACCTGAAGGGAGATTGTAAAGACAATGGAGCCAGGCTCTTTTCAGTGGTGCCCAGTGACAGGACCAGAAGCAACGGGCACAAACTGACATATAGGAAACTTCATCTGATCATCAGGAAACACTTTTTCTACTGTGTGACTGAGCACTTGTATAGGTTGCCCAAGGAAGTTGTGGAACCTTCATCATTGGAGATGTTCAAAACTGAGCTGGACATAGTACTGGGTAACAGGCTCCAGGTGGAGCCACTTGAGCAGGCAGGTTGGACTAGGTGATCTGCAGAAGTCACTTCCAACCTCAACTACTCTTTGATTCTATGTGATTCTATCCTAAATCATATAAAGATCTAGATCTCAGCATGACCTCAACAGGATGCAGGATGAAGGTTTTTTCATCACAATTTTCAAAGCCTAGATTTCAAAGCCTACTGAAAAAACTCACCCGTTCAGAACAGCACAAAATTTCTGCTAAGTTCAAATTCAAACACAAGCTTTGATGCAATAAATAGTCTTTCGTGTTCTGTTGTAAAAGATTTTACCTACCTGCAAGTAATTCTGACTTTCATTCTTTAACTAAAATTGACATAGATAAAATTTTTGCTCTGCTAAAACTGAACCTGCATTTTTGACCAGGAATGTTTTTATGGTGACCTAGTGCACTGAGTTCAGCTAGGATAGGTTTAATTTTCACTGGAGGCTGGGGGCTGGGCATAGCCAGGACAGCTGAACTAAACTAGCCACTAGTGAAGGGGATATTCAATACCATCATGATGTCATGCTGGGGTATACAAAGGGAGCTGGTCAGGGCGGGGATCTCTCTCTCTTTTCCACCTCTCTGTCTGAGAGCTCAAGTCGCTGGGTTCCGGATTGTGAGACGTCTGCGTTACATATTACTCACGTTATATCTGGTCAAACACTACTGTTATTCTGCTGTTATTGTTATCATTTATGTTTCATCATTAAAACAAACTGTTTTTATCTCAACCCCTTGGCTCTCCTTGTCACTCCTGGCAGGGAGGGAGCAAGTCAGAGAGTGACTGTGTGGTTCCTTTGTCTCCAAGGTCAGTTGGCTTGAACTACAACATCTTTTGGTATCCAACATGGGGCCCGACGGTTTTGAGATAACAGCAGATTTAACAAAAGAGTGTTAAAAGATAATTTTGTTAGATTGATTTTATACATTAGTCAGGCAGTTGGTGGTCGTAATGTTGGTTTATTTGTTTACACT